CACCTGCCACCCACTCACCACATGTCTGCGGGGAGGCACAGAAGTACCCAGCACTTGTGGTACGGGATGGAGAGCTGCCAGGGCACAAAATGGCCTTCCCTCCATCGCCGGCCTTTGCAAAGACCCCGCAGACTTGAGGCTCTTCCCAGCCCGGCTGCCAGGCACAGGACAGGGAGCGTTGAGTGGAAGAGGAGCCCTGCAGCAGCACAGAGGTCTCCCACTGCCACCTGGGCCTGCTCCCTCCTCTGCCGAGGAGGCGCAGATGGCCGACACCGCACAGCCAGTCCCAGGACAGCCAGCAAAGCCCAGGGAAGATTCAAGGCTCTGAAAGCCAGTCGAGGATGGCTGAGAAATGCAGGGCAAGGCAGGGGGGACATGGGGACACAACAGAGAATTGGGGCTGAGGTTCTGCAGAGCAGCGGCCGAGCGCTGTGCCACAGCTTGGCGGGCAAGGGAAGGGCATGCCTGTGCTCGGCGCAGGCACCCGGGAGCAAAGGCAGCCCCGGCACTAGCTAGAGAACCAGTGGCACAGGCAGACCCTCCCCTGCAGCTTGATACACCCCTTGCACAACCGCTCTGCAGCCGGCGCGGGGCGGAGACAAGCGGCAGGAAGACGGGCTGCCCCGCTCCTTCCCTCAAGCCCCGAGTTCGGTGTGAGCCCCGAGGAAGGACGGGAAGGAGGGCCCCCGTCACAACTGCTCTCATGCCGGCTAAGTAACATGAAAAGAAGGAGCACGGGAAGGAAGCTACTTTAAAAACCATTGCCAGCAGAACACCTTCCTGGTTGTTTTGGCCCTTTTGGCACCAAAATGTCTCCTGACAACCCCTGCCACGTTAACCAATAAAACAATGCCACAGATTAGAGGAAGGAGGGAGGAGGGGAGAGAGGACGCTACTGCCATAAATTGCTTTCCCCTTCCCATCAGGATTCCTCAGCAGTAGGGAGCAGGCCAACCCTAACGTCGCTTCTGAGCTGCTTGACCACAAGTCATCTCGTCAGAGAGTCGGGGCCAGACGGAGGGACAGCCCCGGGCACAGAGCCAGTATTTAGCATCCAGGACAACCTGCAGAGCAAGAGGTCCTGCCTCGGCCTGCAGGGAGACCAGCCTCAGTGGTGGTGAGTGCCCCTCAGTGATCGAGGCAGGCCACTCACGCTCGTTATCCTTTGACACCACGCAAGGCCAGCGCCAGCCCGCACTGCCTGTGCATCGAGGTGAATAATGACTAAAGCAAAATGGCCATGAGGAATCATTTGCCTGCCATCCAGCCCATCTCCTCCTCTCCTCAATCACTTCCAGCTTTGATTAGACAAAACAAGAAAGTTCTCCCTTTCAAGCAGAGGCTAGTGCTCTGCTTGCCCAGCGTCCTGGGATGGGACTGGGAGCTCCCCAGATGTTAGCTGCTTCTCCTCTGGCATCTCAGCGTTGCTCAGGGATGGCACAGGGACCTGGAGAGAGAAGACAGCAGAGATTTGCATGAATACAGCCCAATACAGAGGATCTGTTTGAGCACACAGGCACGTGGCCCCGCTGCCCTGCTCCTGCCTCCAGCTCCACCAGGCAGAGGTCTCAGCTGTGCTTGGGAAAAGGAGAAACCAGGGGCCACCAAAGAGGCAAAACAGCAGCTTCATGAAGATCTGGAGCAGTAGACTGCTCCAGCAGAAGTGGTCTGGACTGTTGCTACCAGAGAAACGGGCAGCTCATGGCCAAGCAGGAGTAGGCCCAGCCTTTTCCCACCATGTTCACAGAATAATTTAAGCGGGAAGGGCACTCTGGAGGTCTCCTGTCCAACCATATCCTCAAAGCGGGGCTAATTTCAAAGACAGAGCAGGCTGCTCAGGGCCATATCCAGTGGGGCTATGGCATTCTCCAAGGATGGAGATCCCACATCTGCCAGGGCCCTTCCCAGGGACAGCCCTTCAGCTTGCGCTCAGTGCCAAAACAAGATGCCTGCAATCTCCCACCCCTCTTCAATGCCTCCTCGCCTCCATAGGCGCCAGCTCCTGGATGCTCTCACAGCAGGACTGACATCTCCAAAACCACAGCCAGCTGTGATTTCCTTTGAGGTTTACCCAGGAGTCAGAAGAGCCCAGCACCCTCCCATCCAGCTCCAGAGATACTGGTTTCCAGGGCCAAAGCACAACAGGCTTTTCATCGGCAGCCTCTCAGCAAAGCCCCAAGTGTTGCTTTGTCACACTATCAGCATTCTCTCTGCTGGCCCAAAGCACCAGCAGCTCCAAGCAGGCACAGCCCACTCACCCCCCCGACAGAGGGAATCACTCACGGCACTCAGGTGAGGAAGGCTGCCATCCTTCTGCTGAGCGCTGCTCTCCTCTGCCTGCCCACCGGGGTCCTGGGCAGCGGTGGGCTCTTGAGTGCTGGGCCCCCGTGGGCACGACTCCTCCTGAGCTGTGCTCTCCTCTTGCTGCAAGATGCCCCGTCTGTCCAAGACGCTGCAAGAACAGAATCACACCGTCAGAGACCCATGCCTCCCCCGAAGCCGACTTCTTTTTGTGGCAGGAAAGGTGCTGGTGGAAGACAAACATCAGGGGAAGGGGTTCCTCTCCAAAACAGGCTGTGCACAGCCCAAACCTAGTTTACAGTGTCTATGTTCCTCCTGTGAAAACCAAGCCCCTTGGAGAGCAGCCCAGTTCAGAGGGTGGCACCCTGGAAAGAGCCTCCGCTCCATACGCTGCCCCAGGGAAGGGGAGCCACTCCTCCACTGGCTTCCCAAGCACATGGTGATAGGGAGCACATCACAAGCTTGAATCACTGAAAATATGCAAGGAAGGCAACACAAGACCTTCCTCCTCAGAGCATCCAGCCGTGTCCCAAGTGACTTCCAGAAGCCCTCAACACACACAGCACTGGCAGAAGAGCAGCCAGGTCTTGTACCCAAGCAAGAAGAGCTCCTCAGGGTCCCCTACTGGGCTCTGGGGGCAAGAATGGCAGGGCTGCCCCTCAAGAGCTTACCTGGGGGGCAGAGGCCCGCAGAGCACCTCACAGCAGTTCTTCACTATGTTGCCATGGCTGTAGGGATTCTGCACGCGGTTCTTCCCAGTCCAGGACCCCTTAATCTGCAAGTCAGGGCACAAGTTCAGGTCTGCTCCACCGACACCTGCCCCCAGCCCAAGGAGCCCTGCCTCAGCCTGCAGGGCATGTCAGCAAGGTGGACGCAGCCGTGATACGCCAAGGAAGCGATGAGAAACGGAGATGGCTCAGAGGAACCAAAAGACTCTACTTACGTCTTCGTTAGTTGTCTGATTCAGTGCCACCAGGAAGGTGTGGAACCCAGTTAACCCCACCACTGACCACAGGGTGAAGAAACAGATGAGCACCTCCAGTACAGTGAGAACAGTTAAGGACTGGGAACAGCCTGGGAACAGTCCCATCCCAGCTAGGTCACTACCCCCAGGCACACTACCCTAACTTCTCTTCTTCTCCTAGACATGGTTTTCTGTTTTACCCTCCTCCCAAAAGCCACAAAATTGCTCCTCACCTTGTAATCATGGGGGAAAATGCCCTGAAAGACTCCCCAGAGAAGCCTGGGCATCAGGACTCCAGTCCCTCCATAATGCAGCTCACACTAACCCCCAGCTTTGGAGAAGCCAACCCCTCCGCACTGTGGAAGGATATGTCCCTGGGGTTTCCTTCAACGTGTTCAGAAACCCAATCTTCAGAGATTCTGGCAATACAAATTGAGAGATTTTTTTTCTCTGGAACATCACACTGAGTCCAGTTCCCTTTCCCACTCCATCACTTCTGGGTTCGCAACACCATCTGTATCCCCCCTCACCCTTAGCCAGCCCAGCCATCCACCTCTCCGCAGCCAGACTCACTCAGTGCTACGTAGACTATGTTGAAGGTGAAGATGTAGATGGTTAGGAGTGAGAGCGAGAGGATGAAGAGGTAGAAATAGCGGTAGTTCCTCTTCCCCACGCAGTTGCCCACCCAGGGACAGTGATGGTCGAAGCGCTCTGTGAAAGTGAAGATGGAGATCAGTGTTGCTTTAGCACAGTCCTGCCTGCCTCCAGACGCTTATTCCTGTGCCCTGAATTCAAAAATTTCCAAGGCTGACAAGGACTCCCTGGGCCATCAAGTCCAACCCTCTGCTAACTCAGGGCCTCATATCATGGCCCCCTTCTGGAAGGGGAGGCCAGGTAAGAAAGTGCAAAACTGTTTTACTAATGAGTCGTTTTGCACATCAAGATAGAGTTTAAGAGCTTGGCCCCACGCGTGTCTTCTCTCCCAGAGACCTGAGCTTTTACTAAAGCAGCACACAGGTTAGATAAAGGTCTGGGGGTTCAGAAGTTCTTATCTAACTCTTTACTCCTACTAGAATAATTAGAAAAGGGTTCAAGGGACTGCATAAACACTCAAAGGGCTGGGAACCTGCAGAGGAGGAGAGGGATCCAACAGAATGGGATTTCTTCCTTGGGAAGGAATGCTGAGCACGTGTCAATTATGATACACAAAAGGGTTAAGAGAGCATCTGCTACGCAGCAAGGCGAACAAAAAACAGGGGCACTCAACATAACGGCAAGGAGCTGCTTTCATGCAAGACACACAGCTCTCCGCTGGAACCCTCTAGCCCAACAAGGCCAGCAGTTCAGTGAAACTCAAAAATGGACTGCACATTTACACAGACAAGTTAGGCTTATGTTAGACTAGTTATTGCCAAGGAAGTACTGGCAAAGATGAACCATCTGGCTTCAGGTTCTGAGCAAATCTCAAGCTCCTTGAGCTTAAGATGAGGCAGACTGTCCCCGTCTGTTCACACACCACCATTCTGGACTCGCTCAGCAGGCGCAGCGTGAGACCTGATACGGAGGTGCAGATCTTCACCTGTTCTCTTCCAAAGGCTCTCACCTAACTCCCAGGGGCAGGAACAGGCACGGCCTCTTCTACTCACCCACACAGTTGTCGCAGATGCTGCAGTGAGAGGCACGGGGCGGACGGAAGATCTTACATGTGTAGCAATACTTCAGCTTCACTATCTGGTTGTTGATCTGGAAGTTTTTGATCCGCGGGGGCGGGCGCTGACCCTGCGGCACAGTCCCGTTGGTGGCCTCTGAGAGAGAGAGCCAAGCAGAGATCAGACCTGCTGCTACAACACGACAGGCCTAGAATGACAGCTCACCTCCCTGCTTTTCCTACCAGTGGGATCAGAGCCTGCTGGGTCTAGAGCCAGTGGCTGCAGCTCTGCTCGCATGGTCCGGAGCCAGCCTGGCAGCTTGGAGGCAGGAAAAGGGATGCCAGAGCTCTCATGGGCATATTGAGAGGGGCCAGGGGGGTGTCACTGTACAGACCCACATCCACCAAACCTCCTCTCTACCTGAAGGATAAAGGGGCCCACATCAAGCTTCCTGCACCCCTTCCCAAAAGCAAACTGAGTTGGTATGTACACAGCTACAAGAGAGAAAACAGCATGTGGAAAGGTTCCTAGAGAGGGAAGCAGGTACTTCACACCATCTTTTTGAGACTCAGCCAAGCAGAATTAGCCAGCAGGCGGTAAGATGCCCCACTTGGGGCAATCCTCACTTTTGGAGGGCCAGCCGGGAAGAAAGGCTCTGCAGAGAATGTAGCCTGTAGATATGCCAGAAACACAGAGGCTTTTCCAGCCATCACCAGCTCAGCTGGCTCCGCACTCACCAATCTCCATCTCGATGAAGGCTGCCTCGTCAGGCAGGGCTCTCGGGATCACCCCAGGATCACTGAAGCTCGTCCGCAGGAGCGTGGCCATGGCGAATAGGAAGAGAACTGCGGCAAAGACGGGGATGGCTGGGGACAGTTGGACTGCCAGGTACCGACACCTGCAGAGAGACGTCAGGAGGCGATGAATCAGACCACCGCAAGGTCTGCCTGAGCCAGGGCCTGAAAGCCTGGCAAGGCATCAGAGTCCAGACTTTTCTGAATACTGGTTATATCTGGAGAAGAGAAGCTGTTCAGCACTTCCTTCTGATCCCATCACCACAGTGAAACATCCCTGGGGCAGCTCTGATGACCAGCCATGATCAAAGTACTGCCATGTTTCTAACCAGCCAGGCACAGCATACTTTCCAGCATTTTGTTTCGTTTCCAGCTCCCATTTTTCTCAGTGTCACAGGCCTAGAGGACACCCGCTGCAGCCAGCTGCCAAGGGACGGACCATGCCTCTAGGAGAAGCACCCAAGGCCTGGTCTGAGAACCCACCACTGGGGCCGGAAGGCATGGAAGAACGTCAGAACGGTGGGAATCTCTGGCTATCCCCTACAGAGGCAGCAGCTTCCAGTTCCACAGAAATTACTTTCCAGGGATGAACTGTGTCCTGTGCATCTCAGGAACGGATTCACGTGCAAGTGCAACGTTCCCGTGCAACAAGACGTCTGGCTTCCTTTGTCTTTTCTGAGGTAAGGGAGTCAAAAGCTCCAAATAAAGTAGAAAGGCTCCTGCCCCAAGACAGCCCCAGCTTGAGAGAGGAAACACAGCGTAAGGTTTGTTTGCTTTATAAATACAGAAAGGTCCAATGAGGAATTTACGTTGCTAATCCCACTGATTGAGGCAGTGCAAAGGGAGCAAGGAGATTAATCTCACTATGCCCCGTGTCACTTCTGGCCACCCGCAAACATGTCTCCATAGGCACTGCAGCCCAGGCCGTGCAGAAGGCGTCTACAGAAGTCATGGTTTAGAGACGTACTGGGCTGAAAGAAAACATGTTTTTACCCTGATTCCTTCAGAACACCCCATTTATGTTGGGGTGAAGTTCCTATGGGGGTTTCCTATGGTTTAAGGGAAACCCCACCCAAATCCCAACGCTTGTGCAAAATTTCACCTCTCCTTGCACACCTTGCTTCCCCAGGTTCCTCCCAAGGAAGGTGGGTACCCAGGCTTTCTAGTAAGCCCTGACTCCACAGGGGTGGATCCAGCCCAGACTCCTTCTCTCCACAGTTGCTCTCCAAGAAAGCGTAAGGCTACTGAGGTGAAAGGCATGGGATTATCCTCCCCAGTGGATCTGTCATCCTAAGCAAGGCAATTTCTACGATATCCATAGCATTAACTATTTAATTCTGGATAGCCTTCCCACCCATAGCTTCTCTGAACGCAATAAAGTTTCTAGCTCCAGCTGGTTCCTTTGCAGCACCGAATTCTAGCAAGCCCACCATCCACTGCAGGAAGGCCACCGGGCTTTAATTTGCCATTGCTTGACTCCAGCCACTGTCCTCTGTGTGGGATGAGGTACAGCCAGGGCTGTATACTGAAGCTACAGTATGCTTTGGCCACAGCCACAACACGGAGCATCCACAGCGATGCACAGGGCCTGTCCCCTAAACCAACGTTGTTAATTTTAGACACTAAAAACTCCGCAGTTACTCAAAACAACACAATCCTTAGAGCCGTCCATGTGCAGAGTCCCGCCTACATTTGACAAGCCAGGCTGAATGGCCAGAGGGCTGAGCTTACCGTTTTTAGGCAGCCTAAGATAACTTTGCTTTCCCTTTGCAAGGGCAAAGTCTAGAAAGAGAGCTGCAAGTCAGTCAGCGATTAATCAGAAACCTTGGATCCCATTTTGGGAAGGAATATGGGTTTATTCTTCTAAAAGCTGGGCATAGTCTGCCTCAAAGAGCTGCAGCCTGACCCTTGTCCAGCTGACATGACAGCTTTTATAACTTTTATAACTGTTGTAACAACACGAACGTATTACGAGCTTAAAATACGGATTCATGAACTGTGTGAAAGCTGAGCTGAAACTGCGCCAGAGCTTCCAGCCTCAGATATACACTAACACCTTATAAGTTTCTTGAGTCTACTGTGAGCAAAGAGATTTATTACCTGCAAGCACATGATCCGTGCTGGGTGTACTCTCCCAGGCACAGACCTGAAAGCTTTACACAGCGGCACTCAAGAATAAACGGGATCAGTCCCTGCAGCGACCGGTGCAGTCCCCGCTCAGTCTGCGTACAAGCACGAGCGTGGGATGTGACTCGCTCCCTGCTGACCATTTCCTATGCATCTTTGCAAGGAAACCTGCCCTTCGGGCTGCAGCGAGTCTTGCTGTCCCTGAGGCACAGCAAGAGTGGCCTCAAGATTGATGTTACCACATTGCAGAGAGCGGTGTGGGAATGGGAACAAGCCTGCAATTTTAGGAGATGAAAGAGATGAGTGTGCAACCGTCTTCCCCGCTGTGGCAAGGGAAGCAGCACCATCCAGCCAGCATCCAGCCCTTCCATCCAGCTCCCAGCGTGGCACAGGGCAGGTTAGGTCCCCAATTCAGGAGGGGAGAGAAACGATCCCAGACAGACTGCCTGTCTGCCCAGAGGTGGGCAGGGGGAAGGACAGGGACAAAGCCCCAGAAAACACCAGATGCCTGCTCTTCTGACTGATGGGGAAAAGATACCTAGAAACTCACACAAGGAAGTATTAACGCTAGCTCCTTCAGCCACCATTCACAGAAGCGCATGAGATGTCTGCTCAGCGAAGCCGTTGTCCTGTTGCCATCATCCCTCCAGCAGGAAGCAAACATCCAGGCACTGTTCTGGATGCTCGACCCCATTACTCAGACGTGCCCTGGCACAGCAGGGGCCGAGCAGGGCCCTCCTGCTTCCCCAGGTTGCAGGGCTGGCAGCGTCGCTGCGTCGCTGCGTCCCCTCAGCACGAACATGGCCTGGAGGCGCGGTCAGAGATGTGTGAGCAAGACAAACCCCCGCCACACTGAAACGGCATCCTGAGACCCAACGCTGAGCCGACTGCGTGCCTCCCGCCCCTCCCTGCACTGACGGAGCCTTGCTTTTAGGAAGGTGTCTTTAGGGAACATGCCCAGTGCATCTGCCATGGCAGAGAAAGCCAAGTGCTGTCCAGAGCGGCTGAGCAACAGGTGAGGCCACCATTGTGAGGTTTTGACTTGGTACTCACTAGCCCTGGGAAGTCTTCAGTCTACGCCTCGTCTACAGCGCAATTACGCTCAGCAATTCATTTACAGTGCTAAGTAACAGACATTTTAAAGATCTTTTGTTTGGGAAAGCTGAGAGTCAACAGAGACATACTGTTGGCATGTAAGGGTATTGCTCCTCCTCCACTCCCAGTGCAATATCTGTGTTCTTGAGCATGTTGTCATCTAACAGCAGACAATAACAGCACTATCACAACTCATCATCATGGGGAGGGGCTGGGGGTGAGAAAGGTTTAAACAAAGAGATCATCAGAATGGTGGGGGGGGCGGGGAGCAGCAAGAAGCAGCAGCTGGTAGGTGCCACGAGTTTACGGTGTGAGGATTGCTTGACCCATTATTTTGTGATCGCTTCGGAAGGTCTGTTGTAACCAGCACATTAAGCAAAGCTCTGGAGGAAGGGGAAAACAAACACGCGGCTGGGGGTGAGAAAGGTTTAAACAAAGAGATCATCAGAATGGTGGGGGGGGCGGGGAGCAGCAAGAAGCAGCAGCTGGTAGGTGCCACGAGTTTACGGTGTGAGGATTGCTTGACCCATTATTTTGTGATCGCTTCGGAAGGTCTGTTGTAACCAGCACATTAAGCAAAGCTCTGGAGGAAGGGGAAAACAAACACGCCACCCCTGAGGGGAAAACAAACACACCAGCCCCGATGGAAGTGGACTTCAGCCACGGTCATCAAGCAGCACACCTCACGGCCAGGTCCCTCCAGGGTTCAGCCCAAGCTCTGTTGTATAATTCATTTACATCTTACTTGCAAATCACCTATTTAACTTTCCTAAACTAACGCATAACCACGCCGTGTACTTGTCCCAAACACTAGCGAAGCAAAGTACCAAATGCTTGACCCTCATCACAGCACTTACAGCCATCTGCATCTCCCAGACCTGGGACGATTTCCAGAAGCTGATGTACTTGTGGTAAGCGTGGAAACGGTTGCTCTGAAAACCTGGGTAACCGCTGCACTGCAATGCTACAAGTTCGGGGCCCTTTCCCAAGCAGCACTCAGGCAGAACTGGAGCCGCCTACAGAAACTCTCCCCGTCTGTCAACAGTGACACAGAAAACGCTCGCTAGAGACCCACTTCAAGTGCAGTTCCACTGTGAGCACATGCCACGTGCTTCCAACCCAACCGATGCAGCAACCGACTTTAGGCAGGAGACAGAAACATTACGCCAACATTATTACTCTTTTCCCAGCTACACTCAAATCTCCGCACAGGCAAGAGAGCACCCTGAGATCCGCGTGAGGAATGGTGGTGGATGTGCACGCTGCAGGGAGAGCAAAGCTGTCTTCTGAAAGGAGCCCACGTACAAGAAAAAGGGCATGCAATTTGAAAACCCGGAAGCAACCACTTCACACAGAAAGACGTCTTCATGAACAAAACGAGCTGAACTCTGGATACCAACACGTTCACCTCTATTGAGAGAAACTGTAACTACTAAAAAGCACTGATCAACTTGTGTGTAAGTTTTGACAATGCTTGACGTAGACCTAACCAGAGGTAAAAGCCATCTCAGAGGCACCTCTTTTTCAGTGCAAGATCTTGGATCTTTGGGGTTGGGGGAGGGTGGGAATTTAAGTCACATGAAGGGTCAAGCATAGCTTTTTTCAACTCATCAGAAAACAAAGAAATTTTAATCTCTACATAGCTAAGAAAGTAGGAAAAAAAAAAAAAAGCGATAAACATGCTTGGTTATTGGAAAAGCAAACAGCAGCCCCTTTCCGCACTCAGGAGCCTGGCATTGCAGGCGCTATCTTGCCTATAACATTTACAAATGTTGAACGTTCGTGCTGAAAAGCTGAAGACAAAAGAAATCCAGTTCTCTTGCAGCTGCTTTGGAGAGCTGAATGGAAAACTCTCGCTTCAGGAGGGCCATTACAGACACGC